GTATTTGGACACTGGTGTAGATGTTATTAAAATGTTTTATTCCTCTTTTCTTCTGATTTGCTGGTTTGCCTTTAAAATAGGAACAACCTGGAGAAAAAGTGTCACGTTCTGCTGTAAGTTTACTGGCGTCATCTTTAATTAATTCAGCACCTGTAAGAAGTTAGAGGCATCTCAAGGGCGCAGACAGTTATTTCTGGACTCGCTGCATCCTTTGCATGTTTCATTTTAGGTGTTTCTATCAGAAGGCGGTTTCAGGGTGGCCTGACACTTTGTGAACGTGACCCCAAGAAGCACCCATGTAGGGCTTCTTTCTTGGTTGTTTTTATGACTGTAAGTTTTGGAATGAAGTTTTGTTTTCTGTTGCTGTTTACTTTTGGTTTTCACTCGCTTTCTGGTTTGATTTTGGTACCAAAACGATGTGGTTAGGTTTAGAAAAAAAGGAAAAACAGAACAATTTCCTCCATTTTCTGGGTTACAAAGGTAACTTTCTAAAGTATGATCGGTTGGTTGAAAAGAAGCCTGAGTGAAATAGTGAAATCAGTGGCAAAGATAAGGCGGTTAGAAACACATTTGTTACATACAAACATAATCTAACAGAAAATATGCTTCCTTCAAAACCTAACTGAGAGTGCAGTTTAGTTGCATATGAATTCCTGCATGCTCTTAGGACTTCCTTTCTGCTGCACTCTGAGTAACAAGGCTGCAGCACTAATCCACCTATAGACACCTTTATCTAGATGCCTTTGTCCCATCTGCTATTTGTTTTTTAAACAGACATATCATCACGTCTTTCTTTCTTTACCCCGTGGTTCATGGATCTTGCACTGTGTTTGTGTATAATGGATGTATTTCTGTGTGACTGCTGTCTGTAGAACAGATTGTCACACCGCTGTGCTCGTCTCTATTTTACTCTGCTCTCTGCTTTTTCTGCTTCACCTACAATAGAGATAAAAGCCTTGTTGTTTGTGTTGCTCACAGCTTTTAAAACTGCAAAATTCAACAGCAATCTCCTTCTTTTTTTGAAATTTCTCTCTGTAACCTGCAGACCAAGCAGTGAACCATTTGCAGTAGAACTTCACCAAATAAACAGTCCCCATTCAAAACTGCTTCCTACATATTCTGTTTTGTGCACAATCAAAATCCCATTCACTTCAAGTGTATTGGGGTGGAATTGACAGACACCACAAGCAGTAAGTGCAACAAAAAATAACTGTTTTGGGAGATTTGGAAGCACAAGTCAAGCCTGTTTTATGAGGATGAATCACTGCAGTCAGTACGCTCTGCTTTTGTCTTATTATTATTTCTGAGAGCGAATGTGTTGCAGACTACTTCCTGTAACTGGAGGCGTATTGATCCGTAGCTGTGCTCCGGTGTCAGGTAACACCGTCCCTGGTGCACACTTTGAGTCTGACCTCTTCATATATCTGTCATTATGCACACACACACACACACACACACACCTGACCACATGTGAACGCAGCAGCTGGTCGACCGACACCTGAAATATGAGACGTGTGCAGTGCTTAAAGTAGACCTTCATCTATAATTGCTGCGGTAGCAGAACATCTGGTAAAAGGTGCAGCAGATGAGTGACAGTTTGGCTTTAACCTCCATTTACCCCACGAGTGCTGAGTGTGCGTTTGGTAGGTGCAGATGTAGAGACGAAGGTTGTTGTTTCTTCTTCTCTCTCTCACCTTCTTTTTTCCAATTAGGTCTGCAGATGTGAGGCAGCTACCTTATGGTCAGGAGGTCGTTCTCTTTAACCTTCCAGCTACTGTCACCTTTACAGGCAGCTTCTGCAGCCACACAGTTAAAAAATGAAAAGCATTCTTTGTTGTTGTAAAGATTTTCCATGTTTTGTTAAAATATACATAACTAGTAAAATTACCAAAAAAAATACGTTACCTCGTTAACTGTTAAAAAAAATTCACAAAAAAATAGAATATTTAGAAATGGTAATTCATTTATTTTCAGCTTTTGACCCTAAAATTACAATATTTTTCACTATATTTTAATCACCAAAAAATCTTCTTTTTTTTTAGCAGATATTTGTCACTACTTGAAAGAAAAATTGTGAATATTAAGGATTTTCTAAAAATGTTAAATCAGTTTTAAACTGTTGTTGCAGAGACTTTGCCTCTTTTGTTCAATTACAGATAATAACTGCTAAAATAAAATTTTAAAATGATTAATTTACATGTTGACTTTTAAAAAAAAGATGCTAAACTGCACATAATGTCCACATCAAAAACTTGGATTTTTTTACAAATGGTAATTTATTCATTTTCAACATTTTATTGTAAAGCCGCAAAATTCTTACGGTAATTAAATCTGGAAAAAAAAAAAAACAACAACAACAAAAAAAAAAAACATTATTTTAAAGATATTTGCTGTTATTTAAAAGAAAAATTATATTATGTGAAAACAGTAGATCATTTTAACTTTTATTTTTCTGGTTTTCCCTATTTTGGTAAATTATAAATCTATTGAAATCAAAGACAAAAGTATTAATTTACATGTTTCCTTAAAAAAATAGGCAGAAACTGTAAATAATCCAAAAAAAAAGTATTTTTACAAAAACTAATTTATTGTTTTACAATGTGTGACCATAGAATTATGCTGTTTTGATGTATTTAAATCAGCTAAAAATCAGATTATTTTACAGATAATTGCTGTTAATTCTACAGTTTTTGAACATTACAGTATTCCACCATTTTAACACATTTTATTTGCTGCCAGATTTTTAATTTTTTAATTTTTTTTTTTCTTTCTTCTTTCATGAGACACAGAGGATTGAGTGGGTTGTGACTGCACATATGAAGCAGGCATAATATCCCGCCCACAAGCACTGTAAGGAAACAGAACCCCCTATTCCCCTGTCAGACATCAGCTCAGACAGATGGCTGTGAGAGTGTGAAGCTGAATATCCCTGATAGCGTCTCTTTGGCTCAGTGGAGCTGCTCCATTGACTGGCTAGTAGATTAATTTAATTCCCACGTGAGGACCTATGGGCATGAATCTCTTTAGCTGCGATAAACACTCTAAAATGCGGCGCGGCTTCGTGTTTGTGTGGCTGACGGAGGTCGATGGTGTATGATATGAGATTTGTCTCTGAGGATAATGACTCCGCTAATGATCTGCTGTGTTCAAGGATAATTAGTTTTGGCTCTTCTGGCGGCTTTCAAAAGGATCAGGAAACATTTGTTATTGTTTTACAAATAGTTGGGGCGTTTCCCAGGAACTGGGTCAGATGAACTGTACATCAGAGCGAGGACACCCTGAGACTACGATCTGCTGTGCTGTGTTGTCGGCTCCCACTCACTCCCAGATTTTAATAACAGCTTAAACATAACATGATATGAGATGAAAATCAGTTTTATTTCCTGCAGAGAGGGATTTCTGATGCTCCCCAACGACAGCAAAGTGATTAGAACTGAGAATTCTTTTTGAAAACGACTTATTTTTAGCCAGTTTTGCTAATTAGGGTTTAATTTATTCAAACATAAGACATGTTTGTTTCTCAAATGGCCAAAAATTACAGGAAAACGCATCGGTTTCTGTCAAATAAGGCAACACACACTCATGGCCTTTAGAAACTATCATGCTTTCTGTTGTCTAGTCACCCCTCAAAGATAAATGCTAAATGATTTATACATTTTTAAAGAATCCTTAATCGTGAACTGCAGGTTGTGTTTTGACCAACGTGACATCTTATATCTGTTCTGACTTGGGCGGTACAGCAATGGCTACAGTATCAGGTACAAATCAATACACAGTTCTGCAGCAGTCTGGTTTAATGGACCTCCTTCACTGCACATACTTTGACATGTTACAGCAGGAAAACAGGTTTATTTACCGTTTATTGCAATAGCCACTGTTCTTCATACAACTGGCATGACATAACTCAATGTGGATTAAATTGTGGATCACTTTTTAATGCAAAATGCATTTGGTGATCACATCTTTTAATGTCACAAACTAAAAAAGGAATCATTGCCAAAATGTTGTATTTACAGTCAAGTTTTGAACATGTTTACATGAATCAGTCACAACATTAAAACCACTGACATGTAAAAGGAGTCATTACAGTGCAAAGTTCTGCTCAGAAACTTTGGATCCTGGTGCTTATGTGGATGTCACTTTGACATGTATCCCAAAAAATGTTACTGCACCTTCGAAAAAACTGCTTGAGGAACTTGAACAAGAGCCCAAGGTGTTGACTCGGTCCCCAAACTCCCCAGATCCCAACCTGATCAAGCATCTACAGGATGTGCAGGAATAAGTTCAGTCACACAACCTAAAGGATGCACCCCGAGGTGGTTGGGTTTGGTTAAAGTGTCTCGATGCCTCCCCTGCTTTGTCCGACCACTCGGCAGTTGAACTGGGGAGCCAAAGGCAATGCACTGGCCGTCGCATGTTGTGAATACTCTCTATTCATGTTGTCATGGTTAGTGTCATATTGTTTCCTGAGGGGGTTTGGTTTCTGACTTTTTCTGTTGCATCTGGGTTTGTTCTGGTCTGTGCTTTTGGATGGAGATTGTGGTGCATCCACCTTTTAACTGGTTACGTTTTTCTTTTCTTTTCTTTCGTCGTTGATCAATATGCTTCTCTAGTGCCGTTGTCATGGTTAGTGTCATATTGTTTCCCAGCAGGGGTTAGTTTTTAGGTGGTTTTAATGTTGTGGCTGTCTACTGTGTGCTAACATCATAATAGAGAAGCTGAGGCAGAAGTTTTTGTTTTTGCATGGGACAAGGTGGCGTTTTACTACCTTCCCATCCACCTTACTCTCAGTTCTTTATGCCCAACAGAGTGATGAAAAGTTTATGACCACCAGCCGCATAATCAGATGTCTCCCCTGGATGTGATAAATGCTGGATGTCTGGATGTACAGTCGGGCTACAGGGAGGATCAGCAGAGGTCTATTAGAGGAGGAGAATAAAGGTGTCGATGAGAAGTTGTGGCCAAATACAAAAGACAGGGTTGACTAGAACAGCTGTCTCCTTTACATCACTTTGTGTTGCCTTACTTTGTCCTCCGTGCAAATAAAAAACAGGAATTTCTGATTCATTTCTGTGACATGAGGGAGCAAAATCCATGTGCCTAGGAAGTGGTTCTCTCTTTGTTGTAATGTAATTACAGAGAATAGGACACTCCATCGGTTATATGTGTTGTAATGCTCCCACTTTGTTTCCTAAGTGCATTTTTGATGTAAAGACAACTTTCTGAGATGTTTCAAATGAGTTTTCCAGCTTTGAAAGCCTCCTCAAGGCGCTCTGTCAGTACAGCAAACTTGTAAAAGACCTGAGCTGCAGTTTAGACAATCCCACATGGAGTCGATACCATAAAGGTGGCGCTACACGAACATGCGTCATCACAAAATGAGTCAAATTAATCACGATAATAAAGAAAGGACATGCGGCAAAAGCTCATTTATATTGTCATGTTTACCAGAAACCCTGAGCTGGAGCCACTTTATATCCTGCAGTGTCTGAGGTTTGTGTATTTCCACAATTGGTAAGTTAAAAACTGCAGCAGAGGCAAAAAAAAATAAGAAAAAAAGTCTGGTTCATTTATCTGCTGCAGCCTCCAGTCGAGGTATTATTATCTATATCTTTGCTAGGGCGGTGCAGGGATGTTTATACCACAACGCAACAGACAACTTTGCACGGTTATTTTCTAACTTTGCCACCAGGTCCTCCAAAGGTCCACAAATCCCAGAGGAAATATTTGCAGTATAAGAAACAAGAACACTCCACCCCTCTCCGCCTTCCACCTGTCAACAATAATGGATAGTGTTCCTTTTTCCGAGTAGTTTTGCACCCAGAGGGGCTGTTTGGATGAGGAGTTTCGAATATTGCATTTTCTTTCCAAAACCACACTTTGGCATTGCAATCTGTGCAAAGGGCAGATTAGCATACAGAGAAATCCCAATGCTATGATATTTCTCAAATGACGCTGTAGGAAGTTTGTTTTTCCTTCTTTGCATTTGGCAGTTTTCAATAAAGTGTATAATTATAATAGCATTTAATGCTGTACAATCTGATCACATTAGTATATTATATGATAAATACATTTGCTAAATATACAGTATATTGTATCAGACAACTAAAACTGCATTAAAATATAGGATTGTCCTGTTTTTAGTAGCCGAAAATAGTCTGGTTGTTGTTGGTGTTGTGGGCTGCATCCTCCTAAAGCAGATGGACTAAAGTGAGCAGGAACAGCTGGGATTCAGTCTCCTTCACATCTGCCCTTATAGAGCATGGGGATCCTTCTCAGCCATATGGGACCACATGAACTTCCTCAAAACATGATATTTTAATGGCTCAAAATAAACCTAAAACTGCTTTGTTTTCGATCTCTCTCCTTGCTATCTGCTCCTTCTCATCCCTCGTTTCTTTCTTCTCGTTCACGTGAAGACATGAACTTCTGAGGTCGTACAAACACCTCCTTCGCGTTTTTTGTTAAACGCTCCTCGATCATGTTCTGACCTGCTGATCCGAGCATTAAATCAGTTCTGTCAGCCGGCCAGCTAATAGGAGCCAGGGTTGGGGAACTTTGGCCTCGTTTCTGCAGCAGAGTTGAAGAGCAGAAAACACAGCCTCGGTAATCAATGTTGTGTTCCTTCTGCTTCTTGCAGTCTCAGCAGAAGTGCATCGTGATCTTTGCCTTGGTGTGCTGCTTCGCTGTGCTGGTGGCGCTGATTTTCTCCGCCGTGGACATTTGGGGCGAAGACGAGGACGGGATCACGGAGGACAACTGTAGCAGGAACTGCAGGTGAGAACCAAAGAACCACAAACATGTAGTTTCCAAACAAATTGCCTCATCACAGCATGTGGCCTGTGTGTGGACACAGTGTTGCACATTTCCTTCATAGTGTGATTTTGCTTTAGTAGAATATCTCATGTAGAGCATTTTTAGAGGACTGAAGAGGAGAAGTTACCACATATTTCACAAGAAAAAGGGCCCAAATGAAAGAAAAGTCAAAATCAATTAGGCATAATTTTGTGTAACATAAGCAATGTCCGACTTATTGACCCCTCTGGACTTCTACTACTACTGCGACTACCTACAACTACTCTATTCAGGTATTCATATTGTTATTACTGGGGCTGCTAGGTGGTTCAGTGGTTAGCACCGTTGCCTCACAGCAAGAAGGTCGCCGTTTCTCAGTGAGGACACCTGGGATCTTTCTGCGTGCAGTTTGCATGTTCTCCCCGTGAAGCGTGGGTTCTCTCCAGGTTCTCTGGCTTCCTCCCACAAGGTCCAAAAACATGTTGAGGTTGGTTGTCTGTCTTTAAGTGTAGCCCTGTGATAGACTGGTTACCTGTCCAGGTGTCCCCTGTCTTCACTCCAGCCCGCCCGCAACCCTCATGAGAATTAAGCGGTGTATAGATGAGTGATGAGTGATGGATGGATGGATGGATATATATAATTATTATTCATTATTAAGCAACAAATTTGGTCCCACTTGGCTTTTAGGCTTCAATCTTGGAAGAAACACTCAATTTTTTTAACTTAAAGTAGCATTACCACAATTTAAAAGTACTCTGTTACAAGCAAAAGTCCCCTACTTCAAACCTTACTTAAGTAAAAGTATGAAGTATTGTCAACACCATGTGCTTAAAGTTAAAATAGGTTTTTTTCAATATTCTGTATTTATATGTTGTACAGAACTAGGTTATCATTACAGATCCATGACCCTGCCAGCAGCATTAAATATTGAAGTTGGCTGAGTTGGAGTTGATTTTACACATTTTATCTGCTGTCAGGTGGTTTGATTTACTGTCTAACAACTCATTCATTCATTATATCACGCTAGATTTTGTCAGATAAGCTGTCAGATAAATGTAGAGAAATAAAAATGTACAATATTTCCCTCTGAAGTGTAGTGGATTTGAAGTAGCATAAATTTAAACTACTAAAGTACCTCAGAATTGAACCTAAGTGCAGCACTTTCATAAACTTACTTATTTAATTTACACTACTGCCTGCCTCAAGGTGGTTTATGTCTTTTTCTAGTGTAGCTCCTGTTGTGTCTGCTGTGTTGCATTTCCCATAAGTCAGGTTTGCTTTGAAATTAAAGAAACTGTAGGATATGAAAGTTACTTACAGTCTTAACCACTATATAAAGTCAAATCAAGTTGTTTTTGCTTTTTCAAAATAATTCTCAACAGGTATTCATCTAAAGTCGGCATATATGAGAAATAACAGACTTTTTTTACTAATTGTATTTTCAGCGTGTGGTAATATTTTTTTAATAATGAACATGTTTCAGGACCTTTGGTTTTTTCAGCTTCTGTGATTTAAACCTACATTTCCTTTGACTCGTTTGTTTTGCTTTGTGTGCAGTTTTGAACCTTTAGTTGTTCATTTATTCCACCAGCTCTCGTTGTTTTAGCTCCGTTTCGAGCTCTAAAGCATCCTCAGACTGTCGCACTCCAGCAGGTCGAACCAACTGTTGTATTAGTTCAGTATAATCAGTGCATAACAAGTCTGCTCATACTCATCCTGATCCTATCGTAGCCTCCTCCACTGTCCTGGACTGAGCACCAGGCTGCTACTTTAGTCCAGACTATGGAAAGTCTCTTCAAGTTTTAGGAACATGGCTCCCCAGACATAAAACCACTGCAGTATGTCCTGCCCGTCCGGAGAGAGAGTGGCTGACGCAGCAGTCCTGCTCTCCTCTCCACTTCCTACTGGTTCCCCTCCATTAGACTCTTATCATTCAATTTAACATTCAGCCTTCAATTACTTCCCCCTCCTCTCTCTTCCTTTGTCCATCCACTCTCTCCCTCTTCTTCCTCAAACCAGCCATGAACAAACCTTTCAGAGAACTCGATCAGGCGTCCCGCTCTCCCACTTAGGCCTGAAAAGTGCAATCCCGGCTTGTAAAGCCCGCATCGGACTCCTCTTCTCCTCTGAAGGACCCTCAGAGCTCGGGGGGAAGAATGAGGGATAAATGCGAGGCGACGGGAGGGATGGTGATTGAGGGACGGTGAGCCAGATGGAGGCACAAGAAGAGGGTGTCGTGGTAGATTCGGGGGTTGAGAGATGAATAGATTCATCAGCTGTCAGTTGGAGACTGAACTCCAGAGCGGATTTCAGAAACGTGTGTGTGTCAGACTTCCACTGGCTTTTGCTGTGACATGCTTCATTTGACGGAACTGCAAGGTGTGTAATTAATGATATCATACAGCATTCGTTTTGCTCAAAGCGCCACAAAGTAGAAAAGGTGATAGATTGCTACGAGGCGGTGCAGTGAGGCGAACTTCAACTCCTAAAGGTAATTCATCAGAGCGGATGCATGTAAAGACCTTTTCAGTCACTGGCATTTCAGTCTGAAAAATAATCCAGCGATTCAAGACTATTTCTCCTGAATAATCTAAATACATTAAACCGGCCTGTCCTGCTTTGAACCCGTTACTCCCCCAACACTTTAAGAAAAGACAAGGAGCTTTCTGAGCCTTTTAGCTGCCCAAATAATGACTCAGCAGCTTTTTTTTTGTTTGCGATTTTGTAATTTAAACATGTCAGCTGGTTGTTTTGTTGTGCAGATTTCCTTTTAATCTTGTTTTTGCTTGCATAATGAATGATGCTAATTCTTGCAACTCGGGAACAAGAGACCTTTCAAGGGTTGTTTCTGCTGTGTGTCTGCATAGTTGCTGCAACACAACAAAACATTATACGTTCATACCGATGATGATACAGATTCTAACCTGTGAGTCCTCCTCGTCCTCCAACAGTGTGCGTTTCTCGGCCGTCGGAGTGAACCAGTCGCACTTTAAACCCTCTTTTCTGATCGTATCCGAAGAGCCAGTCGTCTGATGCATCCCTGGTGTACATGTGTAATTGCCTGGTGTCAGACGGCTGATAAGACGGTTAGTATTGATCTACGGCTACTTTGTTGAAGGGCAGAAATGATGCTCAGAGAACCAGACTTGACTGAGATCTTGTGAGCAGGCAGCTGCTGCTCCGGGACACAACATTTGAAAAACCCTTTTCAGTGTAAATGTGCTTCTTTCCATCAGTGCTCAGGGAGCGTCTCATGTTTCCTTGAATAGACATAAAAAACTTTTTTTTTTTTAAAAGACAGCCACAGAAAGCAGGAGCACGCTATTCAGTAAATCTAAATGTTGACATGTTTTTGTATCACTATAATAAGATGCATGATGCAATGCAGTTGTTTTGGGTTTAGGGACACTGGACAAAGTGGTCTTGATTAGTTGATGGTTGCTTTGGTGAAGGTGGTTTACTTTTCTGGGTTCTGTCAACTTGAAATTACTTTGCATTGTCCCTTTATTTGAAACCAGAGAAGGTGCAAAAAGTCAGTTTACTGCTCTTTTACCATCTAACGTCCATGTTTCGTCATATTTTTTTTTTCTGTTGCAACTCAGTTGTCATTTTCTTTAGATTACAGAACAAAGAAAAGGAATAAACACGAAGTCTAATGACAAAACCATCCATCTATCCATTATCTATACACCGCTTAATCCTCACTAGGGTCATGGGGGGCTGGAGTCTATCCCAGCTGACTCAGGGTGAAGGCAGGTTCACCTGGACAGGTAACCAGTCTATCACAGGGCTACACTTAGAGACAGACAACCAAGCACACTCACATTCACACCTACGGACAATTTACAATCACCAATTAACCTCAACATGTTTTTGGACTGTGGGAGGAAGCCGGAGAACCCGGAGAGAACCCACGAGAACATGGAGACTCCACGCAGAAAGATCCTGGGTGTCCTCACCGGGATGCGAACTGGCGACCTTCTTGCTGTGAGGCAACAATGCTAACCACTGCTCCACCTTACAGTTCATGACAAAATCATGTTACATTTAGCTATAGCGGAAACTTTAGAAACTTTGGAAGCTTCAAGTTGATTTTCTTTTAAAATTAACTTGCAAAATGCTCATTTAAGAGGAATCAGATGACTTTACTTAGCTTAGATGAACTTCTTTCAATTGCTTGTTACTAATTGAAGTAATTATTTAACTCTTCCAACTCTTTCTTCATTGTGTAGTGAAACTGAAACTGTCAATAATTAGAGTCTAAGGTTTATCTATTCTTGATGTGAAGTCTGGGTTTACGGCTGATCTGCTTTCTGCTGTAACTTCAATCTCACATGAGTAGCTGTTATACAAACGTGAGTTCTTTGTTACTTCAGCAAAGTTAGACTACGAGCCCTAAAAAAAAGGTTCCCACTGGTGACTCACAGTGTTGCAAACACAATAAGATACCTCAGTGAAACAGCTGGCAGAGGGCCTACTACTGCAAACAAGGCTTTTATTATTTCTATCATGAGTTTTTCATCCATGGAGGTTTCACTTTCCCAGAGTCTAGAAAAGTGAGTTTTATTTTTCCCCTGATCCCATTATAACGTCTGTTTACTGAGCAACATTATAGAGCTGAGGTCAGCAGACGAAACATGATGCAGCGGGCGGGAAACCAGCAAATAATTAAGGTGTCATGTTATTGGATTTATCCATATTCATAAAACTCTGAAAGTCTTCAGCTTTCTTGTCTAACGTTTTGTGTTCAGGTTTCTTTTTAAAGTGGTCGCTCATCCCCCGTCCATAGAGCTGTGACATGTAGCGTAGAAAAACTCTGGACTAACAAGTTTTGTTGTTTCTTAAAGGCTCCTGAAAAGATAAATGTTGAACAAACAGCAATAAACTAATGCTTATATAAACGTATGAGGAGAGCTGCTGAATATGCTATTGAGACATCTTCAGTTTTGATTACTCATGATTGTATTAGTTAATGTTGTAAC